TCCCTTTATTTTAAAAGGGTTGTGTGGCCGATCTGTGCCATCCTGCGTAAATTTTTAGAGGCTTTCTTTAATTAGGACTTTGTAAATTGTTATTTTTTTTTATTAAAATGAATAAAAAATTTATTTTGATTACATCTGTAAGGTGAAAAATTGTTAAAGAAACTTAGAATGTTTTCTTGCAAAAACTATTCTCATCTTTCTGTTAGTCTCTGCAAACTGCAATTTTGTGATTGTTACCATTCAAACAAGCATGTCAAGGTGAGATGCAAAGCATTACTAAATTTTCACAGGTTTTGTATAGTTAATTTTTTATGACAACCGTAAACACAACTGAAATATGCTCATATGGAATATTTTACATGGAATTTATTAAACTAAACTGCTATAAATATTTGTCTTTAAGTCAAGAAACATTAGATGTAAACTTTGTGACATAAAATGTGGTTGGCAACAATTTCCAACTATTAAGCCGGATGCTGTCGAAAATCATATTTTGCTTTTTAAGCACGTATTCACAGATAACTTTTAAGTTTTTTTTTTCATAATTTGAGTTTGGATTTACGCTTTATTGGAATGAACGTTTAAAATTAAAGTAATTTTGAGTTTGATTTGTCTTCAGAGACTGTCTTATATACGTTGTAATAAAATTTGTGAAGGAATGCCAAAGATGAACTAGAGACTATTTTTTGCCACTTTCAATATTGTTTTATAATCAATAATATATCTATGAATGGATGCAGTTTTCAGAATATCGTCCACGTCCCGAGTAAATTTCTCCAGAGGGAATCTAGACAGAGATTTTAAGATGATGACTTCGGATAGAAATTTAAATTAAGTTGTATAATTTATAGATATAAAATGTGTTTGTTAGTAAATGATCGTATTTTTATTTAACTTTATCTCTCCTGTTATAGTAAGATGGCTGAGACATCTTGAAGCACCAATATATAAACTCAATCATATATGTTGTTTTAAAAAATATTTTTAGTATTTTTTGTTCCATTAAGAGCTAATTTTGCCTGTTTATAAATACCAAACGATTAATGCACCTTTTGAACGTTATATTATAACATAATAAGTCATTTCAGAAATAATATTTCATTAAATGTGTCATTCATCCAGATATTCCTATAGATAAGTGAGATCTGCAGAGCCTACTCTGAAGTTTTTCCAATGATTTAGTAGTGTAGTAAATATCGTTAAAAAATAAGATTCTGGTGTTCTGGTAGCATTTATTCTGCTACTGGAAAGATAATAAAGTAAAAGAAATAATGAAATCTGGCGAGGGATTAAAGGTTAGTAATGAATGTTAATCTATAGGGACACACAAGATAATACAAAAAACAAAATAATTGATAATGTAATCTTATTTTACATAAGTTGAAAGGGAATGTATCTTGGATATTTAACTTCTTGATATAAAAAAATGAAAATAAATACGGGTTTGTTTGCTTAGAATAAAAAATTGTTATTACAAAAAACTGGAATTCATTTATATCGACTTTTTTAGAAGCTTAGCTGTAGCATTGATCCAAGAGAAACCAAAACAACCAACGTATAAATAGAAACCAGGTGAGAGTTCTATCCGCAACCTTTAAAAAAAGATAAATTTCCTAATGAAGTATCTTCAGTTTATCTTCCGAAATGTTCTTAGTGTTAATTTACCAACGAAATTCTTGTTTCTTAATTATAATTATGTTTTAATACCATTAAATGGGTTAGATAAGGCCAAAAGGGATGCCGAATGGCTTAAATTATCAGTTGCATTGTGATGTTAATCTGTAACGATGTTGAATTGCAAATGATAATTTGGCTCCGTAAGATCCATGTTAATTGCCATCCTTAATTATTATACAAGTTAGGAAATTTAAATATATCCATATAAATTTCAGTTTTATCAATGTTTCTACTCGTGCATTCTGATAAAATATTTAATTAATTAATGCTGAAAAATCAATTTTTAGTACATGCAATGAGTGTTTTCTTCGTACCAAAGGCCATAGAAACCTCTGCTTGATAGTTTTCTTGACTTTTCAACAATTTAATTCGATAGAATCGAAGCTTTCTTCGTGATTTCTCTACTGAAACTTTTTATATATAACTTTGAAAATCGATTCCTTAGTCTCTTCTCTCTCCTAATGTCACATTTAGTATAGAATTTTATGGTTTTAAAGAGGATCTTCTTGGCTATTCCAGTCGATATAATCGATGCTTTTTCGAAGATTGTTAAAACGAGATCTTCGGTTTCCGGGGTCGTTTTCTCCACCAAAATAGAGCTGGACTTGTGCTGATCTGTTATGTTTGCCTGCCGTTTCCATCGACTTTTTTTCTATATAAAATGTAAGAGGAGTAGAGTAGAGTAGAGTCGGCCTTATTATGATTTATTCAGTTATTAATCCGTTTTTGTAATGGGTAGATGACGTGCTCTTTTTATAACAATCTGTGGTGTAATTTCCATTGATTATCCCGAGTGGAAAGTCTCGTCTGGTTGCTGTTTAGTACGCTTTAAGTGCCTTTGACGTAATTGAAAATAAGAAATTGCAGTTCATAAGATAACGATGAGGAGGGGGATAGAAGTTTTATTCTCTCTCTCTCTCTCTCCTCCTGCATCATCATCGGAATGTTTCGCATAAAATAATGTTCGTATACTAGTGCAAACTAAGGTTATTCTAAGCTTTTTACACTGCAATCATCGTGATTTATGATCTTCAGAGCCATTGATATTTTGTAATAAAATATCTGTGCATTTTTTAATGTTTTTATTATAAGAATGCGTGATTTTAAATCCAGACATTTAAGATTTTCATCCATTTTATTTCGTAGTTTCGACGATTCTTTCGTCCATATTTTATCATCGTGGAGAGTTGTTTGGACACAAATACCTCCCAAAAATGTTCCTTTCGAGATGATGATTTTGATGGTTTTAGAAGCCGCTTTAATAACAAAAAAAACTTTCAACTGCAGTCTTTAATGGTTACAGTTTAGATAAATTCTGAGAAAATCAAAATGTGCGGATCTGCAAAGAACAGAATGAAAAATAAGACAACTTTAATTGGAAAAAAGTTTTTTTTCAAAGGTCGGGGACCGTTTCAATTGAATTCGTTCGATTAAAGGCACGAATAATTTTAATTAAGAGAGCATTCCATTCACAAACTTCCGCTAGTAGTTGCATATTCTAGCAGTTGTCATCCCCTTAATGCCTATCGGATGATCAATGAAAGCCGTTAATGAAGTTTTCGACATCATTTTGAGCCGGTTAATAGGGAAAAGATGGAGGTTCTTACTCCACTTCCACTCGCATTTGTAACACCTGCCAGCTATAAAAATCTCTTACACGTGTCGCAGATACTTGGAAAAAGGATGAGGTGTCACTTATCTTACCGGCCACTTTACTACAATTTATTCTTTCATTTGCTTTTGCTACTAAGTTTATCGTAGACGATGATGATTTTCACACTTTCTAGCCAAATTTTGAATATATTTTTTTGCAAATTTGACAGTTTTAAGGGTCCTAAACAAGATACCGCTGAGAGCTCTTGTAGAAGGTTAATGACTTTAGGAGTTCGCTTGGATAAACACCATTGATTTTGCTTAACAGAATAAAGCAGCTCGCTCTGTTCTTCTACACGTCATTGATTTTCTTCTTCTTCTTCTTTATTATTTGAAGTACGTTCTGTATGTCTGTAGGGACTCATTCGACATTGTTTGGCGTCGAAGCATTTTGAATATTGTATGTAATATGATGTAACTTGCCTAATTGATAAAGTCTAAGCTGTTTTTTTTTACATTTATTAGTCTTATTATATTCCAGTACTTTTATTTATTTATTTTTTATATATAAATTGAATAAATTGAAAATTCGTTCCTAACATCTTCGGTTTTTCAGCTAAAATGTATCGAAGTGTCTTTGCTTCACCGCGACTCCGAAGCTTCCTTCCTTCCTTCCTTCTCAAAGATAGTTTTTATACTCTAATCATCATGATTTATGATCTTTAGAGGCATTGATATTTTGTAATAAAAAATCTGCATTTTTTAAAATTGTTTTTACTATAAAAATGCGTGATTTACCTCTAGAAGATTTTCGTCCATTTTACTTCGTAGTTTCCTCTCGATTCAGCCAATTCTTACGCGTTTTTCCTTATCTGTAAAGGCATGGAATCAATTATTTTGATGATAACTATCGACCAAGTGGCTTTTATAACGTTAACAATATACATTAGGCCTATTTAATAAACAAAACTCTTGCTAACCCATTTAGTTTCATTGTTGAAAAAGTAAAACATTTCAATAATTTCGCATTCTGTTCTAACCGTTTTGCATATTTGGGGAAAAAAGCAATTATTTAGACTGAACACAAAATTGAACACCAAAATATGCTAATTTCTCGTTAGAAGATTGGTACAAAGAAGTGATTATCATCTTTGGAAGTGATGCCAGCGTAATTAATCTCGTACATCCAGGAGGTTTGTATATGGGATCTTTTAATCCCCATCCCGGGACACGAGTAGTTTTAAGTCCTCATGGGACGCTCTGATGATGCCATCAGAGGATTGATGGTTGAGCCGCTCTTCCCGGGGATTACCAAGTTGGTTAATCTAATACCTCGTAAGTATCAACACCAATCTTTTAGAAAGGTGCTCTCTGTCTAGAGAAATTGTAATCGGTAACGAAGTATTTATTCAAATTTCGTAAAAGTAGAAAAATTTTTGCTAAGGAACACTAAAAAAAATCTTAACAAAAACTTGCACGTTGTCACTAATTACGGATACAAGTTATCGAGTAATACACTAAAAAATTCCTAATTAGTGTACGCTCGAGGAGTTACCGTTTTCTGTGTTAAAAGCAACCGTAATCTTTGTAATTTGTACACAAAAATTGAAGGAGTTTTAGCATACTTTTTTGTTAGATTGATACCAGGTGTTAAATATAAACTAATTTGGACGCGTTACCCTCTACCTAGACCGATAATTTCATGAAAACCGTTTGTACGATTAATTTAGGAGGTGAAGGACTGCAAAACACAGATGACAGACCTGACCAACCAGTGGTACCAAGCCATAAGAGGACCCTCGGAAACGGAAGAGGAAACGGACGGAGGAGAAATGTAAGCACTAAAAAAACCTACTTAGGTAAATGTCGTCCCGTTGCACGTTTTCGTTTTTTGTGATGGTCACTTATTGTAGCACGTAACTTCCGGTTAAACGGAATCGGCATTTTAAAAAGTTTTTCTAATTGGTTCCTTTTCTTCCCCCATTCAAGACGAACGGATAACCGAATCAACGCCGACAGCGCCAGAAGGACCACGTAGCGGTTGATGTGCGAACTAACTAACCATCTATACGCGTTACGCCCCGTAACGACCGTCGATTCGTCGGTTACGAGTCGAATTTTTGTAAGATTTCGAGCCACGTTTGGCCTCCTGCCATACGGTTTAAATATAATTTGTTATTTTGACACTTTCATTAGTGTAAGTGCTGTAAATTATCAAAGAAGGAAAAAAATCTCTGTGAGATCGTTTTCATATTTATTGCGTCGATGATGATCGAAATTTGAAAGACGGCATCTCTCATCCGGCGACGTTGATTGTAATCGGGTGATTGACTGTTTATTAATTAATAAAGTTAAGCATGTTTTCCTTTCAATTCTGTCGCGGTGTTTGAAAAGAAATTTGCACTCCTCTACGTGTTATTGAAGCGTTGTTATACTGTTCAGCTTTGTTGCATCACGACCAGTACATCGATCCCGTCATTCGTGCAATATTTAAGATTTGTCTGTAGGTATATGAACTTAGAGACGATCTTAAAGTATAGGTGGATCAAAAGTCAGTTAATCATATATTGTTTCTTGTGTCCCGATTCATTTTGTTTTCTCTTACGAGTTTACGGGTTATAAATTCCTCTAATATTGTAAGTAGTAGTTTTTATAGCGATTAATTGACTTTTGGGCGGCCTGTACGTTGAATAGTGCTACGGGAGAAGTTGGAAAATTTTGATAGTTCCTCGTTATTAAAGTGCCGAAATATCTCGGTAAATCATCTCAAATTTGGTCCAAATTAGTTTGATTTTTTAAAAATTTTCTTTCAATTAAACTAATTCATTCAAGTTTGAAAGTTTTCTTCCTCTGCGGGCGTAAACTTAAAAGTCTCATCTTCAGTTGTTAAAATTCGGAAATCTCGCAGTAGTCCAATGCTACTTTTTGGATAAACACGTTCGTTAGACGTAGGACGAACACTCCAAACCGGTTTAATTCTGTTATCCGGCAATTTTCGACGTCGAAGAAGCGGAAATCGAAGGTACGCATTATACTCCGATCGCGCTGTTAATTCCAGAATAACCTTTTAAATTGGAATTTATTCTGGGGGGGGGTATTTTGGGATTTCTATATATAAAATTCGAGAGTTTTTTTTCCTCGAAATCGTTTGGCGATAAGGAGAAAATGCCATAAATTTAATCGTCGAAGCGAATCGAAGGCAAACTTCCGAATGCGAATAAATTAATGGCTGATGGAGAGAAATGGGTGGAAAGTATGGGTGTCGGAGATGTAGTTATTGTAAAATAATCGATTCCTTCGCAAAATAAGTGATTTGAATTGGATGTGTTGAATGATCGATCGATCCATTAGATAAGACAGAGAAAATTGTTTAAACAAAATATTCCATTCGGAATCACAGCTTGTAATCAGTGTCAAAGTATTGTAGATGGATACAAAAACAATGCCTTACCTACAATTGTCAATATTCTAATACAATATTTCTTACCCAAATGCTTGAATTATTGTAAATTTAAATTCCTAATTCAAAAAAAAAAATCAACGTACTGTACTACTACCATAAATTTGCACGCTACAATAATTCGAGTGTTTTGTAATTCAAACATTCTTTATTTTTAAAAATAAAAATTCCTATTTGTTATAATTAATTTACTAACAAACATTAAAAAAAATTCTTTATAGTTAAAATGGCAGCTCTTGGTTATTGAAGGATGCAATTGATTTCTTTTTTTTCTGCGCTTACTCCTCGATTCTGGTGTGTTTACATTAAATATTCACTTATACGTCATCGTTCTTTGTATACGAAACGTTTCGTTGTTACTCACAATAAGAAGCCGTAACACGAACTGTGACTAGTGAGGCGAAGGACATACTTTATACAAAAGAATCGTTCGATTTCCAAGTCAACAAATTTCTGTTGTGGATATTTTTAGTGTCGTATATCATAAAAGCATATCCATAATCAAAATTATACTTTCTTCTTCCCTTTCTTGCGATACGGTTTCAATTTACAGGCCTCTTTCTGAAAATCCGATAGTGAATTTTCTGTGTAAATATCAAATCTTCAATTGTTGTTTTGTTCTTTTTTTAAAAGAAAAGTACAAGAGCTCTTTGAAATCAGATTTCCCATTTGTTCGCTCGATTCAACTTTTTAAATTAGTGTTTGAAACGACAAAGGTGCAAAATGGATGAATTTTTAATTTCTAAAATATATAAGACTTCCGAATTAATCAAGACGTGGTTAACTGATTTTCGGGCCACTCTTCGTGTGTACATTTTAGTGCTTTAATAGTCGTGACTATGAAAATATCCTAGTATGACAATTTAAAATTATATAAAATATTATTTGGAGGAACGATACAGTGTTTGCATCTAATTCCATCATATCATACAGAAAGCTACTGTGCAAGAAGTATCTTCAAATAATACATTTCTTTATACCACGATGATTTAGATTTTGAATTTAAACGTGTTCGATTCGTGCGTAAATCCGGCACCGGTTCAGAATTTAAGGTCCTGTTCGGGTCAAAAAGTGGATGAAGCTGTAAGCCATCTTCCCCTTTTATCCATTGTTCTGACATTTTCATCGGACTGAAACGCTAGTGCGACCTGTTTCTATTAGTTATGTTCGTTCAAATTTTCTAAATCCGCCACTCGACAGAACAGCATACTTGTATCTCGTTTGCGGCCATTTTGAATTTATAAAGTGATCCCATAGCTCCAAAAAGCGAATCCTTCCGGGTCATTTACGGTCGTAGATGGAAATTCCAGATTTGTGGTGCGTGAGATATGCAAAACGAGCTAAATCTCAGGTGTTTCGGGATGGCGAAGATCCGCGACGTTGAATAAATGACCCGGATTGTTTTCCTTCTGGTTCGATATCTCGGTTCCTTTATCACTTTTGTGGCCGGTTTCGATACCAGATGACAAAAATTGCCATCGATGCCACATTAGGAATGTCAGCTTTCCGGTCTCTAACTTAGAAATGAATTGATTCTAGCCGTTTTCTTCGATTCGTACACGTTGCTTACCCCTCTAGTAACCTTCGACCTTTAGCGAATTCATTCCAATCGCTCGAATAACCTCTAAATATCTAAATATTGTAGATTCGTAAACAACCAAATAAATGAGATGGTTTCAATTCTCCTGAGCAACTGTTTAATAAACTACTACGTAAACAATTCCCGAAACTTAGGATTAGGATGATCCCTACGGGTCGAAATTCATCTGCTTACCGTTTCAAAATGTCACCATCCATCCTCCAGACGGTAACTACTGATGAAAAGTGATATATTAGTGAGTAAACTAAGTACAGTCACATTATTTACACTTTGGCTCTACAAAATGGTTCCCTTAATCCCGACTTTAGGGCGAACAAACTGCGGTTACAAAGTGCCAAAGGTTTTAAACTGGATCGATCCGGATGGAGGAAGTTTTCGAACGATCGATCGTCACTACCCAACTTCACGGTTCCTAGTCGATTTCCGATATCGTTCGTCAGTTTGGGGTCGAACAAATACTTATAAATCCTGGTCACTTCGAAGAAAGAATCGTGAATTTCTATTGAAAAGAGACTTTCTTTTGTTTATCCGACTTCAAACGGCGACAGAAGATAGAGCGGAAGCGGAAATCGCTCGAAAGTAGGATGTTATCCCAGTGGTTCTGTTTGATGATGATGCTGTAGCCTCATTTAAAAAAAAAAAAAAAAAAATCTCAATTCACTTAGCGGATGAGATCCACTTCCAGATGATTCTTACGGCAATTTCCGTCTTGTAATTGAAGCTTCCTGCCGACATTATTGGTAAAGAGACTGCCATCTTTTCCGCATCCGGTCTCAGAGGTGGCGAAATTAAAATTTAAGTTAAGGTAGATAAAAATGGTAGCTTTCTCGACACACATTTGCCTACAGCAAGAACAATTAACGGCTTTCTGCTGTAGACTTAATTAAGAGGCGGAGCGTGTTTGGTTACTTTTTTTGCGCTCTCATTTGCATATTATTAATCAAGCTAGAGGAACCATTCTCCTAATGCTATATTAATATTCTGAGAGTCCATTCTTTTTGGAACAGGATAGATCTGACTTTCAACTATCATTCTCAATCCATTCTTGAAGTTTGAAAAAGTTATCCTGAAGGGTCTAAAAGCCGTGTTTTATGGGCACAGCCCAGCATTAGATAGATGTATTTTTCTAAATCGTAGGATTTAGAAGAACTTTTTCTATGGTTACTAGAAAGAGGGATTTGTTACCTGTATTTTTGGAAGGGGAAAAATGTGATGTCGTAGAATGGGCTCTTCTAAGATTCAGAAACTTAAAATGATTAGTATGGGTCATAATGGAAATACTTCCGACAAATTTAACACCTTGATTCGTATAGAAATCCAGTCATGTTTCTGCCCTTAATCCATTTATCCACTAGATTGGTCTTAATTGTTAAGCGCACCCGATGTTAAATGGCTTCGATTTGTGGCTGCAGTCGAAATCCTAGGATAATTGTTTGATGCGAATGGAGGAATTAATACTGTCCTTTCGACTAATCGGCTCCGCTTATCGATGTTTGGTGGCTTCCTTTGGCTCAAAATAAGTTTCGAAAAGGAAGCGTTTTCTATATTTTTCAATCACCGATGGTGGTATCTTTCATAGCGTGTAGCCAGACAATCGAGAAGTAGGTGTTAACAATAAATCACGCCCCTCTTCTCTATTGTCTGACCGACATCTGGCTCCCTTCCAAGACCCTCCACTAAAAGGTACTTTATTACGTATCGTCGTACTTTGACCCACTTTCGTTTACCTGTATTAACTGTTCCTCTCGCAATTTTCCCATCCGAAATTCGTTGAGATAAGTGGGGGAAGCTTTCGAGCGATTTTAACAAGTAAAGATGAGCCATTCTTAACTGATTCGCCTGTTTTGATTTGTTTCTGTCTATAAAGTCGTTCGCGCGAAACAATAGGAAAGTAGAATCCTATGTTTACTATTAACAAAGAGGGATTGTGTAGCGCTTTTAGTCATTTGGCCGACTCTCCTCTTCCTAATGCACCGGAACAAAAAGGTCTCTTGTCCCAAAATTCTGTTAACGGACCGGAAAAAAACTTGACAAAACTGTCTTCGACTAATACAAAATGTGTGTTTTACTAGACTCGAAGTACACTTCAAGTCTAATAAAAGCACATTTTCTAGTGTTCTCAAAACATTATAAAATAACTGAATTAACTCCGAATAGTTTTGATATATTCGCCTATTCGTTGCAGATTTAAGTTCTCGACACCTCTTTTTTGTTAAAATGATGCCGAAAAGACGAATCCGACCCTCCCGATTAATTTTTTAAGCTCGAATTAATCCGGATTAATCTACAGAAGACGCTCGGATTAAGAGCAAAAACGTGACTTCTCGTTTTGATAGAAGTTAAGGAGTTAATCCGATCAGACGGGTTACTTTCGAAGAAGCTGCCATCTTCTCTGTTTAAGACTGTCGGACGAACACTCGAGGTGACAGTCGTTCGCTAATTGACAAGGAGGAAGTGGAAACTCGCCACTCGCAGCTTATTCGACTTTCCCCGCAAGACACCGGCTCGGTTCCCTGACGTCATTTTTTGAGGAGTAAGTGAAACTCAGAAAAGAAATCTGTTACTGCCGCTTGTAGCCTCTCCTCTTTTATTGTTGTCATTCCGGATGACTAATTGGTGACAAATTTATTTGTCAGTCTTTCGGGAAAGAGGAAAGGGAGGAAAACGGTCGATTCTTTTAAATTGATTTTGGATGGAAGGCAAGTTCTGCGTTTAAACGTCTCAAAGTGCCATCGGAGAAAGAATGTCACTTCGTCTATTTACTAATGAAGACACGCTAGAACGTTACATCCGGATGCAACAGGGTCCTCTAGGACCTTTAAATAATTGCTCGGCTCCTCTCGGCTGTCCGACTCGATAACCGACTTCAATTGTTTGGAGTAAGAGTTGTCTCGAGAGATTTTGATACTTTCAAAGTTAATGATTTTCTACATCCGATGCTGATTAAGCAATTGATTAGAGCGAGAAGGCCTTTCACCACGAGAAAAATTAATTTGTTCGTTCGTTTAAAGACGTTCTCGGTTATAGTTTGTGCGAAAAACCGAATCATTCGTGCCAACTACGTATTACCGAAGGATGACGACACAGGAAGGAGATTTGTCGAGGAAACCCAGCACCTCGATTTTTATTGGCTCTAATAACAAAGTAACGCGCTACATCCCTTGGGAATCCTCTGCTAGAGAACCGTTACCAACACTGTTTCCACTAAGGATCCTTGTTCCGACGGGCATTCGTTTGGGTCGGGATCTCCTTCGTTGGAATTAGTACACCGAAGACTATCTTGTCGTCTCAATAGGCTAAAAGAAAAATACGACTTGCGTAACTTGTTGGTCTTGCCGACGCATACACTCGTGGCACTCACCTTAAAATGGGCGATTGCGGCGGAGGTCCTTTGTTCTTCAAGATGCCATTTTTGCTCTCCAATCTGCAAAGAAACAATCCGAATGAATAGGTGCGAGTGTTTCATCGAAAGCTACTCGTTTGTCCTCGTTCTTACTTTGGCGGTCCACATCTCACGCAGTCTTTCCACGTCCAGTGTTTGCCGAACTCTTCACCGTCTTCGATTGTGTGTAGCACTCTTTGGTGAAGTGTTTCCGGTAAGGTGGAGGCTGCCAGAGCACCCACTAACTGACAACTTCCCAATGCTGCTAGTGGAACAATTGGATACCGTCTACCCTAGTCGGAGCAGAGACATAACTATAGTGAGTTCCTTTTTTTTTAATCTCCCTTTTCCAAGGCAAAAGGGATGATTAACCCGGTGGCGTATATACAGTATCCTTGCCGGTAACGGGTCCTTCGGGAGCCCAACCTCCCAACCTACCAATGAGTAGCGCCACTGGGTTAATCCATCTAATTATTCACGTTCGGCGCGAGTTAAGACGATAACACACCTGATACATGATGAAAGGCATGATGACCGGTCCCAGGAGCCCGAAAGCGTCGACCATACTCAGACCCTGATCCCTTATCACGATGGGCAATAATTCCGAACTCCACAAAGGAAGGACCACGCAGGAGGAAGATATGCTGAGTTTGGCTACGAAATACAAAATCAAGGCAGTCGCCGTACCTGAAAAGGATTCCGTCGTTATTTTTGAAAGTCACGGGGTCTAGAGAGGAGAATTTAACGAAACCTTTGTTAACTGCGGCTATACATAACGATGCGGCCCCACCCAGGGCCGAGCATAGGCATAACGTGCATCTCCTTCCCAATCGATGCAACAGACACGTGGAAAAGAAAATGGCCATCACTTCGGCTACCGTGGAAAGGAAGAAATGAAGATGAGCTTCTCCCTCTAGTTCCAGAGAATAGTATGTCAGTCCTACGTAAGTGGCCGTGCTGGTGAACCTAAAGCAAGTATAATTTAAAAATCTCGCACGAGTTAAAGGGGGGCGTTATTACTTACCAGATGATGATTATAGTGCTGGTCTTCCTGCACAAGTTGGGCGTTTTGAATAGGTCGACTACGCCGATGCTATTCGCCTTTTGTTTTTTCTTTTCGTCTTGCAGGACACTTTCCACTCGAAACCTTCTCTACAATGGAATAAGTGTTAACAAACAGTAAAACTGTCTTCGTAGCGATAATGCGAGATTTACCTTTAAGTTGACTATGTAATCGGGAGGCAAAGTCTTGCCGTTACTTTGCCCGATAGCTCTGAGTAGTCTGTCTGCTTCTTCGTACCTCCCTCGAGAAAGCAGCCATCTTGGGGACTCTGGAAGAACCCTGACCAACTGCTGGATTATTGTAAATAGTAGTATTTTATTTCTCTGGCTAACCAATTCAAAACGTCTTGTCAAAAAGTTCATCACCCGTTTGCGCAAATTGCAGAAGTTTATTAGAAAAGGAAAGGTGAAGAAAAATTTTCATTTCGTAATTTTTTAGACAAGACTTTGTCGCCATCCATCGATCCGATTTATAGTATAAAAAATCTGGATTTTTTTCAGATCTATATTTGTGTTTCTGCTCTTTGACCCGTTCTTAATCCTCTTCCTACCTGGATTTTAGGAACGATTTATCTTTGTAGCTGCACTCGAAGCCAAAATGCCACCTCCAAGAGATGCGGGAGCGTTTTTTCCGGTCGGTGGCATCAATTTCCACTCGCCTTGTCAAATACCGTTCCGAAGCAAGTGGCACTCGATGCTTACATATAAGCAACAGATGTCGTACAAGAAGACACGTGTTGTCTTTCTAGTCGAAAACTTTTAGTTATTCAATACAAAAGTGTTAAATTCGCCTAAGAAACTAGAAAAAGGCTATTCCTACTCGTTTCTTTCGAGAGTCCTTTGCACGTGGTAGCTTTATAAAGATTTATTGATAAAGGTGCGCTAAGACAGGACTCGATGGTAAGAAAGGAAAGTGTCACGTAGTAGAAAATGAACGAACGAATCGAGACGAGACGTATTGAATGTGTGTTTGAACAGACTCTAGAGAACTTACCACCAGTGTAGGAAGAAGGCGGAGAAGGGCACCGTCGTCACCAATGCTAGATGAGTCCAATCCCTGACCAGGAACACTATTCCGGATAGAATGAGCGTGCCTAAACTGCGTGCCACGTAACTCATCAACCACACTTGAATTCTTAGGCTAGGTCCTACGATTTCGCGAGCTGAAGAAACGCATCAGAATCGAATTAGGAAAGTGAAACGAGAATCTAAAACAGTTACGTCAAAATCGATATACCCAGGATAGAGGGAGAAGACACCACGGCGGAGACAGTGAGGCCAACCATGAAGCGGAAGGCTGCGAAAGACAGGAAGTCCGGGGCCATACAAGTCAGGACGCCGAAAAGGCACTGGACTCCTAGAAAGAGGAAGAAGGTCGGTCGCCGTCCGAACCTAAAATAAATTTTTAAAAAGAGGGATTAAACGTACGCCCGACGAGAACGACGATAGCAAAATCCTTACCTATTGGCCACAGCGATGCATACGCATTGACCTACGAACCCACCGAACTCGAACAGTGTCAGTGCCATTGGAGGAAGCCAGGAACGTTCGCAAACTAAATCCCACTAGAAAAAAGAACAAAACTTAATTGAAAACAGGGATTCTCGACGCACTTTCAGCTTTTTTCGACTGTTCTTTCGGTTTTTCAATTTCCGAATCGCAGGAACTGAAGGATCTTGGATTCACTTTTTTTATATAAATATAAATTCCATTTTTTCTGGGTGAGGAATCGCGTTGTAGATGGCGATTAACGGATCCGGAATGTAATTCCGGAATCGGAAGACGAACAATCCAGTCCGGAACGTTATATATTGAAAAGTAGGAGCAAAGTCCAATCAGCCTCTTCCATCCGGAGAATGGCTCTAACACGCTCTCCATTCACCACTCTAGAAAGAGAGGAAAAGAAGTGGTGCCATCGTCTCTAACATTTTTATCCCACTTTCCAATATCGGAAATTATGCTCCACGCGATTATTTTCTACACTTTACCAACTGTTAATGCCCGGAACCAATATCCGGACTTGAGCCACAAAGGGTGGGATTTGTAAAGGAGCAAAACGTTAGAAGACGACGACGAGGAGGAGGAGGAGAGCTGTCTAACATAAATTGGACGCGTCCAAACTTAGTCGAAGTGAATTCCACCCCAGTGCGCGTATTCCCTATTGTCATTAGTAGTTTGCCCCGCTGAGCTGTCTCGTCTGTCGGAAAATTCGAGTATTTCAGACAGAAAATCAAAACCGCTGTTTGTGATAGATACGTCATCTTTTTGATCGCTGTTACTTTCCGAACTTTCTGGTGTAAGGGGGGAAGAACACCCCATTCGGTGGAAGAGAAAAGAATGGTAAAGCACGCATCCCCCGCAATTCGATGCGTGTTTGTAATTTTAAATTCGATTTTTCCAGGTGGGTCACTAAGAAAATGCTGCAATTCATTAATATAGTGGAAAAGGGGGTGGACAAGAAGTTCTAATCGAACGTCTGATAGGCGGAAGCGTGGGAAAATGCTGATGACGACGCGTTTACATCCATTTTTCTTATTTCGCCGAATAGCCGGTTGAGAAACCATCGTTTTTACGTAACGTAACACGGAGGCTCGTATAAATTTAATATTAAATAATGTCTGGCGACGATTTACTCCCCCGAATTTTCAATTCCTCACGTTTCCACGTTGAATTTCTCCGTACGTGACGAGTAATACGATCTCGAAAGGTTGAAGGAGATGTTAAAGAGGTCGATAAAGTGAATGAGAAGTATTATGGAGAATCTATTAAGGATATCGTTGGACATTTTACCGATGGAAGTGTTTAGAAACTTTATATATATAATGGTGCATCGAGAGCTTTTAAGTTTGAAAGGACGGTGTAGGCGTTAGCGACGAGGTTCTGTGAATTAAACGCGTGTTTTCGAGGATTCCATTGTATATAAACTTTATAACCTGCAAGTATCAATGGCTAGGAAATAGAATTTTGGATTAAAGTGTCAATTTTGTACAGCAAACCAGTGGAATTTTGATATATTTTTTTGTATTTTAATTATTTTAAACGGTTAATTTGGAAACGTTTCATGTTTAAGTGGTGTGGACGATATCCCTCGGCGTATGGTTGACGACACTGCGTAAAGCGAACGAATTAAGTGCTCGAGAACGTTTTATTATTAATTACATAATAATTTCCTCCTTAAGAATTAAGCAAAATGATCTTATTGAATTTGATAGGCACAATTTACTGTCATAATTTCTATCTAAAGATCAATTACTCGATAGAAGAGAAGGGAAAAAAATGGAAGATCGATACGAAGAACTAACTAGAGACTCGAAAACGAAGAAAAATCCCGGTCCTTCTATGGCATTTGCATTGATAAAGCTCGATGTTTTAGCGGAAGAAACGACGAACGAAGTAGATGCTAACTTAATTGTAACAGAAAAGGGGGTCGGAAGAAGCCGACTAATGCTATTTGCCTGACGCGAGGACCCCTAAAAAGAATTCCATTAAGATAGGGAGTTTTTGTTGGAATGAGTGGCCTTAACAAAATTTCCTCGTTCGATCGTAACGCTATTATTTATTCCTCCTCCCGAGTGAAGATACTATTTTCGCTTATTATTAGAAAATCACTCTTCAAAAATTAGCTATTTTAACTTTTCTTTTATTAAGCGTGACCGAAGTTTATGTTTTTTATTCTTCGATTTTACCTTACTTTGGCATTCTTTGTTTACATCTCACAAAATAAATACAGGGTGGTCCGAAATTCAGTTTACCGTTCAGTTAACTTCCCAAAAATTGTCCAAGATGCGGTCCTTCCCGTTCGATACAGAAATTACAACGCTTCGACAAATTCGGTTTACGATTCGCATCGCGCTAAACGAAACACGGGAAACAGATTTTTGGCCCACCCTTAAATAAATCTCTCGGTGTACTTTTTAATCAATTAAATCGTTTCGATTACTCGCCAAAAAGTAGAAGTCGGAAAAAAGAAAAAAAAATAATAAAATCGATCCGGTTTTCAATAAGAACTTCGATCTAGAAAGGCACGTTTGGGGTGAAGTTATAAGTTAGGTAATATTTGCTCTTCTATACGCTTTAGGCGCTGTGCCCTTTGGCTTTCCCTCTCACAGAGATGGAGATTTAAAGTCGGTTTGCTGCGCCAAGCAAAAATGGTTTCGATAAATTTTGAAACGACAAGAAGATGGAAGTCAAAGGAAAGGAGAATTGTTGGAGTGCGTGACAATAAGAGAAATGTACGTCGTGACTTCCGTGGAAAGCATTATCGTGATGACTAGAAAAGAAACAGGTAGATTGCCAAGCGAAAAAGTTGCGAGTGTCATGTCTGAGAACCTTCGAAACCTCCGAAATCAAAGTAAGTGGCACTCTTTCTGTTGCGTTAAATTTCCAAGAACAAATTCGAGAGTCGGAAATGAAAGACGGGGTGCGTGACAACAAGAGTAATAAAGAAGCGTGTTAACTGGTAGAAAATATCAACGGGGCCCGAAAGAACGGCAGTATAAAGGATTAGAGTAGGATGCGAATCCCTTAATCGGCCAAACTCTGCGGGAACCAATTCGAAAAGCAAGATGCGTGGAACAACACGATGTCACCTCCTATACAATTATACGTCTAGATAGAGCGGCGAAGAGGGTAGAGTAGGATGCGAACTCTTCGACACGAGCTTTATCTCAGAAAAGTAGAAAGCTCTTCTTTTCCCGACCGTCTGTTGCGCCAAACCGGAACAAGAAACTGGTGACAAAGGACGGTGCTGACATTGTCTGGACAGGAAGGTCGTGGCAGAGGTTAAACTAGCGAAGAATTCGAATCCGCCGCTCTCCTCTCTCTCCTCCTTTCTTTCGCAGGAGGAATTGCGAATGTGAAACGGTGACGAAGGCCGGAAGCGTCGTATCCAACTGTGGAAAAACGATATTTGGTAAACACTTTGCCGGAGAGGATCGATGGGCGTCGAGAATTTCCTTTAATAAAAGGTCTGTCAGTTGCTTCGATCAGTTGTCAAGGCAGGATTACACGTCCTTAATTTTCTTTTTCTGCTCCGGTCGCTCTTCGATCGTCCCCCTCGGGGAAATTTATGGGGGGAAGAGAGGAAAGGGAATCGCTTTCATCTGCAAAGTAATAACTAGAAGCTGCGGAAAGACGGGGAGAAAAATGAAGCAATTGGACGCTAATAGAGTGGGGAGCGTTATTGCCATATTCATTTGGGAGAAGAAATTAAACGAGGAAAGAGAAACGTCGTCGACAATTTAAGGAGCTAATCCGACACGGGAACACGGCTCGCCGCCATTAAGCGGGGGGATCGCGTCCTCATTATCGGATCTTCGTTAGGAAAGCAAACAAAACTACGAATAATGGCGTTTCCGGATGGATAAACATCTCGTCGTGCGCCTCTTTACTCCCGTTTTGCATTCGTTACGACGACACCAGCGCCAAACCGTCCCCTCCGGCGGCGAAGAAGAAGGGAGAAAAAAGGCGCTCAAGACGCCGTCTCTCGTCGTATTGGCCGGCCAAAACAGGTATTTTCCGGAAGGAGAGGAGGCGACGCGACTGATGCGGGGTGTTCCGACAGTCGGGCTGCATCCGGAACCGGATCGAAGTCACGTTCATCTTTTGTCTCGCGCTAATTTGCTAGCAGTCAATATTTACATCCATTAGAGGCGATCGATGCGGCTATTAATGCTATAAACCATGAGTTATGGTCTGGAGACCGGTTGCGGGTCGATGCGCCCCGTTGCCAGGCCAGGGCGCAGATAAAGTAAGCGGCCAGGGAGGAATTCCACCCAACAAGACGTTCTGTCACCGCATCCCTTAACGCGGCTGGTGGCAAAACCACGTCGGAACCGGGTCTGGCCAGAGCCCGGGTTCGAGCGGACACGGAAAACGAAAGACGGGGATGTTAATGTTGACGGCTGCCAGAAAAAGAAGAAATTTCCGAAGTTTGTTGGTTGCAGAGTTGCGACCACGCCCGCTGCGAGAAGGTTTCCATTCGTGGATGAAATTACACTCCGAGTGAAAGGCCTTAAGTACAGGGTGTGGAGAAAGCGGATGTGGTATGAGATTCGACAGGTGTTGGCATGGCTAGAGAATTGTTAATGGAGGACTTTGCCGGGTAAAATTAAGATCCAGCTAGTGTTATCGCATCGAAGGATTCTAGTTTGGCGTGGTGGTTAAAATTCGGCGGATTGCTCGGCGTAACCGACGAAAATATTCTTTCTACGGCCGGTGACTAATCGGAATTAATACGTCGCTAGTTTGTAGGATAACCATTTCGACCCCATCCGATAATTCGGCCATCAGGATGCCATTTATCACGTGGTAATTAGGCGTCCGCACTGCCTTAATTACCCGACAGATCTGGTAGTTTGCCGTAGAGGAGGATCGCGGTTTCGTTTGGGTACACGCCACTCTCGCCAGTTTTTTGCTTATTAAAAAAGTGACGAATGCGACTTTTCGCTTCCTCCTAATTTACTCGACTGCCGACGAGAAGGTAAATAAACATATTTCGCAGGCTCCCTTTCTCCCCTTCTTGCACGACCTTTTTAAACGTCGGGGACGTCGGAAAAGGGGAGAA